TCCTGGCATCGCTACTAGGAGCAAGGACGCTACTAGGGGCTCCTGGCCTTACTACTAAAGGCAAATCTTTGGCAAACCCACGCTACCCTCTTTTGCCACGCCGTTCAGCGTTTCAGCCCTGGCCTGGCTTTGCGCGCAGATCATCCTTGGCTAAACTTCCAAACATTTGGATCGGAAGCTAAGAATGCAAACAGGAATGTATAACCCAATGGACATCTTCGATGCATACAAATGAAATAGTTGAAGGGTATATTGCATTTTTGAATATTTGAAGATGATACCTTTTGTACAATTCGGTGCATGTCTTGTTTCACGAAGTATTGCACCTTCGGTAAGGTCTATGAGCCAAGGATCCAAATCACGGATGTAGGAGCGAGGAATTGACAGGACTGGTTTCACCCTGCAACCTCACAAACAAAAAAGTTTGAACTGTGACAAGCTTTGTGCAAAGGGATGCATTCTTCTTTGGGCTCGTGAAGTCAAATGCTTAAGGCATTTCTTCTGGTGTCTGCATATGGAAAGGTAGTTGGGGTACAAAAAAGCGCTGTTATGTGCTTTCCGGCGGGCCATAAGCATGGCGAATGTTGCGAAAGGTCACCACACCGTTCATGGCAGATCCACCGCAACCAGGATTGGAGGCATAATTGCAGAAGGCCTCCGACTTGTCCGGTGCTATCCAAACGGCGTGTTCTTTCTTGTGTTTAATGTAATTCTTTATTTTCTTTCCGTCTGTTGTTGTTTTCCTTCTTATTTCCTGTTGTGTCTTTTTTTCTTTGCTTTTCTCTTTCTTTGTTTTCCTTTGTCAGATTTCGGATCTCTTCACGTTCCGCATAGAGCCTCCTCAGCGCAATGGTGACCTAAGGAGGTGCAGCAAGAGCTCGTGCTATACAGCAATGCTAGAGCATTGTTTTACATGTAATAATAATGCACTTAAAGGAACCAACATCGATGGCCTCCAACCTACTAGCAATGGCCTCCAGTCTAAGAGCAATGGAAGCGTACTAGTGGACTAAGCGCCATAAAAGCCATGTTACATCCGTTGTAGCGGATGAAAGGCATACCACTCTTCGTCTTGATTTCGGTGGCAATGATCTCGGGACTGTAATCCTGCCAGTCTCCGGATGTATTCCGTTGACGACAGGTTTCAAGCCCGTCCTCCGGCCACGGAGATTCGGTTTGATTATCTGTGTTGCCTTGAGCACAAAGAACCCATGCAGAGAATAGCTAACAACGCAATGCCCTCCGACCTAGAGGCTATCAGCTAATTGTTTGTTTCAATATTGCAACTCGATTACTACCAATGTCGTCTGGCGGCTTTGACCGTCAAAGTCTGGTGTTCTTTCTGCACAATGCTTGCAGAGTGACTTGTCAAACGTCGTGCCACCAGGGAGTGAGTGCTTTGCAGCTGCCTCACCTCTGCATTCACATGAGTTGCACGTAAACTGCAAAGAGAACAGTTTTAACCGAAATATCTAGGGCATGTACACTTTACAATCCTAACAAATACATACAAATACACTCATTACATTGAGCATCTGAGCGGACTCAGGACTAGCTTGTCTATGACTCTATGATTTGCCAAACTCTGCCAATCACAAATGGACAAAGCCAAGGTGCCACCCCCTCCAAGTCAATCCTCGTCACCAGCAAAACACTGGCCAAGAGGCCCAAAAACAGGGACCTTGGACAGTCAAGATTTGGGGCAAGAATCAAGAGCTTGAGATACAAAAAAGCCTTGAGACGATTTAGAAGGAACAATTATCCAAATGATTCAAAAAGTACCGGTATACCAGTTTTAATGCCAAGATGTAAACCAATCATACGATTTCAGATCCAGTGCTTGCTAGGTCGCAGCTTGACACAAGTCATTGCTGGTGACCAGGACACTGCACAATCAGCTCTTGGGCCTAATGCCTGCAGATGCCTGTGGCTAAACCGGTTGCATGGAGACCCACCGAAAGGATTGGGATACGAATCCCTTGGTTCATCCCAAACCCGTTTGGCATGAGAAGCGGCGTTGCAAAGCAATTTATACGGACCTTCTGGCTGCTGAACCTGCATGATCTTCTAAAAAGTGGTCGGTCTGGTAGGTTGCTGTTGTCTTCGTGGTGAGGGAGGTAACCGTGCATGATTGATCAATAGGAGGTTGCATTGATCATCATCGATCCATGTGGCTTGGAGGGAACTCTCATTGAGCACCGTTGCTGTGCAACGCAATGCCCCAATGGAAGCTACCTTTCCATTGGGCACTTTACAGCTTTATTATGCGTTATTGATCTTTCTTGCACTTCAGCCGTCCTCTGGCAGAATAGGTGCGTCCTTCTCTTCAAACAAGCCTGTCATGAACCAAAGACTCCAACAAGCTTGGCAAACAAGGAAACCTTCTTTCTACCCCAAAGACTTGTGAGCCACATAGATAAGACATGTTACGACTGGTACGACTTACCTTGGTGCTTATAACCTGCTGTCAAGCAGAGTCATGCACCAAGAGATAGATGGACAGCTTGTATGCACTAGTGATCAACTTCAAGCCAGCGAAACGTCCGAAGGCCGTGTACCTTGCAACAATCATTCAGTGCATTCAGTGCATTCACAGTGCGAGTCTTCCCAGCAAGAAAGACAAGCTTGCACTGACCTGTACCGAGTCCGACACAGCTGGGTTGCTTTGAAGCTGAGCCTCTTACCCACTAGATGCTTGCCCCTTGAAGCCCATGGTCACTGAACACTTACCATCCTTGGGCAGAGCTGGGCGGTGTCCAAGTTGTGACCATCTTGGGCAGTGCAGAAATCACATGGGAAACATGGGCCCCAACGGAGTTGCAGTAGCCAGAGATGCATTGGCAGCTGCCAACCTGAAAAGGAAGTGAGTCGCCTTGGCTGAAAACTTTGAGCTGACGTTGTTCTGCTTTGTTCCATCAAAATGCCCATCATGCCCATCTGCTGAGGGCCGCAACCGACACATTGGGTGTCGCCACGTTGTTTCCCTGGCCCAAAGGCTACATCGGGGTTCGAGGCGGCTTCTCAAACAACTCCAGGGTGTGATGTCCGTGAAATGCACACAGCAAAGAAAGCATTCTTGTGGGTAGTATGGAGATATACGGAGTAGTTTGAGCTCAAGTATGTCCAAGTACAAGGGGGAAGCTCTTGTGACTAGATCATCATCCGTTTGGAAGCGAAGACATGCCAGCTTCCACAGCACCCCATCCCTGGCAATGCAGCGCAGGTGGACTCCTGAGATCAACAGCTTTCAGCTTTGGAGCCGCTGCTCATTTCAATCCATTGTTTTGCCGACCTCCTACTTAATTAAGTAGGCGCCTACTTACCGTAATTAAGTGAGAAGTAAAACATGCTACTAGCAAATCTTGAGCTGCTCACGCAGGAATGATGTTGTTCCTATATTTTCAGGGAAACTTAACAAAAGATTTCACTAAGCTTTGTCATCCTGGCCTTGCAGCAAGACTGTGGGTTCACCTGGCACGCATCATTCAACTCCTGTCTATTCTCGCCTCAGCAATTGACACAAATGTAACAAAGGACATGAGACATACAAGCATGATCGATATTTTGTCACAAAAGAGAAGGCTTCAGGATGCTTTCAGGGCTTTTGGCTCTGAGAATCTGACACACCCCAGGCACTTTGATTGTGTTGCAGAGTGCATCCTGGACAAGAGAAATCGGAAGAAATGAAAAGTGGATCGAAAGTCGTAGCTGGCTAAATGAATGCAGTTTTAAAAGAAGTATGAAAAATAAGTTCGCAAAGTTTTGTTTTCTGATTTCAGTTCTCTGAGGTGCTTGCTACTATTCCGGTCTTAGCCTCACAGGGCCACAATGCCAAAGCAAGCAGCAAGCGCAACATCGCCTGCACCTCAGGTCCCGATCAACTCTGATTCTCAACAAACTACTGAAGCAGGTTCCATAAACCAAAGCTCAGGTTCTGACAATTTGTGGACTACTCCGCGTACACTTGAACCAAAACAGGGGCTGCAGGCCAAGTCGACAGTGGAACACGCACTAAACATCCATGATCCAAACAGTTTCAAGATTGCCCCAGCTCGCGTTACTTCACCTCTAAAAAAAAAGCCAAAGAAATCGAGACCTAAGCGACCCGTTCTTAGCT